TATGTATTGAGCCTTGTATTAATCATTCTTTAATGGACAGCTGCAACCAGAATGAAAGTCTAATTAGTTTGGAAGCTTCCATGAAACAAGTAGACCCCACTGTTTAATTTTACATTTTATTGTCAAAGAAATACTGACAGATTTAAAACAATGGTATGAGTAATTTTTCTAACTTTGTCAAATCACTTCTGCTGTCTTGACCAGATTAGTATCTTAGAGTACTCTTTTAACCTTTTCTCCATAATAACTGAAAATATCTGACCACACTGAATAATCTCCATCATAGATGATTGGAATTTAGTCCTTAACCTTTTAGACATAGTAATAGAAATGCTATTGTGCTTTAAGACGACTTGAGAATATCAGCCATTGAATTGATAATCAGATACAGCAGAAATCAGGAATAATTGGAGACCCTGGTTAGCCAAGGAAACCTTGAAGAGATATGAAGAGTATAGCTATTCGATCTCCCTTTCATTCATATATTCAAAAGGCATTTATTAAAAGAATCTGATCTGAGAGGATTTGAGATGCTGGTAATCAGGACATTGTTAAGAAACAGTCCATAACTTTAAGGATCAGGATGATAGTTGAGGAGACACCTCTAAGGACTGGGAAAAGCACCCTAACGCTAACAGTCAAATGTCCATTTGTACTTGTTAAGTGCATGACTAGAAACTAATCTAATCTCCTTGAACACTGGTATTGCTTTAATGACTAAAGCAATGGACACATATTGAATTGCCTAGCATGGTACTGAAATCATGGTATCTGTATGTGTTCTTTCAATGATGCATAAAAAGTAACTATAAAAATCCTATGTACTGATAAATTAGGATGATAAATTAGGATGGTTCTGATGGAAAATGCATAGCTGTGTCAGGCCAATGGCATAAATCAAAGAAAAACTCTATATGGTCACATTTTCACCCTGTTTCACCTATCTGAATTTTTCCTCTAACTCAGTATGGCATGCTAATTACAAGAGCAGCAGAGTTTTTAACCTACTAGACCTAGAGTTTGGATTTTGATGCGCATTTTAAACTCATGATGAGGAGCAGAAAGGCATTGATATTGCTTGATTTGGCAATATAAATTGTTGCATTGGCAAGTTACTTCCTGTACTAATGAAAAATAACTTTCAAATAAGTAATGAAATGAAGCCATCTAAAAGAAGCCATTGCTTAGAAAACAAACTAGCCTACTCCATGGCTTTACGAGATGATCTATTCAGACTATATCTAAAGAAACCTACTAAATAGATTTGGCTTAGAATGAAATAACAAATATTAAAATTTGCACCAGTTCTAGGTGTTGATTGCACCAATACTTTCGATCAGCAATGCTGCAGCCTTCTGGTTTCTACTCCACTCATCCACTTTGTACTCCTTTTCTCATAGGCAGGAGGTAATGGAGAGCTCCATGACAAATTATGGTGCAGAAGAGCAATTGCCTCTGAGAAGTCTTTTAATAACTTTGGGCTCTATACCAAAGCTTGGGAATGCCGAAGACCTAAGAAATTACTCTTTCTCCATGGGGTAGAAAGGAATAATATTTTTAAGCAAAAGGGCAGCTCATTCTCATGACTTATGAATTTAGTTAATATGTGGGTTAGAAACTGCATTGAGCGAAATAGCATTTTCCAAAGGGTCTTCTATAGATGTGCTTATAAATTGTTCTTCCATAAACAACAATCACAAAGTCTTTCATAGTCAACCAGATTTAGGGGATGAAAGCTTAAAGTCAATGTATAATTTTAGTACAGGGAAATTAGTCTTTATTTGAAGTGCTAAAGTCTCTCATAAATCTTGAAAAGGAGTATATAGAACTCAGCTTTAACTTTCTAAACTTATCAAGCTGTGGAAACTTTATTTTATACTTTCCCTCATGGGATTCCTAACTCTTCTATGGGACAGACTTGTAGAAATACTACCTTTGAGAACAGACACATTACTTTCAAATACTGACATTTCATACTTTCCACAAAATATAAATAATATAAGTTTATTTGTCAAGGAAATTTATCCATTTAAATGAAGATAATTCTACCCAATCATTATTGTTGAATTAGTGATCTGGATTCTATTTATTCACAATAGGAGTGGTTCCCACTGATCAACCCATCTTTGGAATATAGGAGTCTAGTTTTCCAAAGTGGATGTTAATGGCCCGTGCCCAGAGCAATACAAATTCTGTTGTCCCAATAGTATTGAACCTCTAATAATGGTTTGTTTAATTTCTGATTTGTTTAAAAATTTGGTTCTACAATGAGTTCTACACAGTTATAGACCTCTCCAATTAATAAACAAAAAAGAAAGACTGTTTCTTGTCTAATTCCTCTCAGTGATTTCCAAATATTCATTTTCATGTCTGCTCTCATACTACTTTAATTCATTTTGGTTCATGGTACAATAGTGTATAGAGCTTTGAAACCACAGGCAGATGACTATACATATGCCTTTGAAACAAAGGCAGATAATTGTGTGTATACTGTAAAGATAGCAAGTCTTCAGCAGGTCCAGGCTCTTATAATGATACTATTGAGTCAAACTGAGCAACTTCTACATTACACAATATCAAATGACATCAAATATATGGCATCAATAATATAAGACAATTCATTGAATAAGCATTCCGTACTCACTTCCACTAAGAAGCCATCCTCTCACCAAAATTAGATTTCTTTCTTGAACTTATTGAGCAAGATTTTGATGTAAATAAGAGATGTGATTTTTAGCGGGCTGCTGGTGGTTCATGCCTGTAATCCTAGCTACCCAGGAGGCTGAGATCTGAGGATCAAGGTTCAAAGCTAACCCAGGCAGGAAAGACTGTGAGACTCTTATCAATAAACCACTAGGAAACAGGAAGTGGCCATGTGGCTCAAGTGGTAGAGTGCTCACCTTGAGTGCCGAGACAGCGCCCAAACCCAGAGTTCAAGCCTCATGACCAGCGAGAAAGAGAGAGAGAGAGAGAGACTAGAGAGTCTATTAAAAGAGAGGGAGTCTAGAGAGTCTATTTTTAACATTCTTTAAAAAATATTCCTATGTCCAACTGTGCACTCTTAAATGCTCACCTGTTACTTTGAACATGTCCTTATGCATTAAAATTTTGATGGCTATGTAACACCTGTATATCTCGAGATGTACAGTGAGATATGCCATGCCATGCGTGCACTGTGTACTAATTTAGTCACAATAATTAATGTGTCCACCTGCTGCTGGTAGTTACACACATCCTGATTCTCTCCGATGATGAATCTCTGGACTACTGTGTGAAGCAGATCTTTAGAAATTCCAAAAGGCCCTTGCCCATGTAATTGTAAACCCACTGTATAGTATTTTCACACTCCTCTGTACAGTATTTTCACAATAAAAAAAAGAAATTCAAAAAGGTAGGGCGATATAGAAAGACCTGGTTTCAGTTTTCTGCGCATGGATGGCCAATTTTTCCAGCACTAGTTGTTAAAGAGGCTTACTTACAACCTGTGTTTTTGGCTCCATTATCAAATATTAAGTGGCTATAGGTTTGTGGGTTCATTTCTGGGTCTTCTATTCTGTTCCATTGGTCCTCAGGCCTATACTTGTCCATATCAAGCCAGGTTTTTTTTATTACTATGGATTTGTAATAGTTAGAATTTGGCATTGATATTCCTTTAACACTTTTCTTCAGGATAAGGATTGTTTCTGCTTTTCAGGATCTTTTATTATTCTGTATGAGTTTCAGGATTTCCTTTTCTATTTCTTTGAGGAGTGTTGTTGGGATTTTGATGGATATTGCATTGAGTTTGTAAATTGCTTTGGGCAGTATTGCCATTTTCACAATCCAGGAGCATATGAAACTTAAGAAATAGTTACAGGAAACCATGGACTTAGGTTTCTTTGGGTCTGGTTTACTCCAATTAATATGACTTTTTCCAAGTCTTCCCACTTCCTTACAAATGGGGCCGTGTCCCTGATGGAAGCATAGAATTCCATTGTATAAATATTCCACATTTTCTTATCCATTTATCTACTGAGGGGCAGCTGGGTTGGTTCCATATCTTAGCTATGGTAAATAATGCTGTAATAAACATACTTGTGCTGGTAGCTTTAGTATGGCCTTGTTTGTAGTCATTTGGGCAAATGCCCAGAAGTGGGATTGCTGAGTCATAGGGGAGCTCGGTGTAGTCTTTTGAGGAACCACCATACAGCTTTCCAGAGTGGTTGAACAAGTTTACACTTCCACCAACGGTGCTGTTGTCAATGTATTTGATTTTGGTACCCTAGTATTGTACATTTATTTGAATTAGGGAAGGGAAGGGGAACAATAGAATGGTGAGACAAATGACAAGGGGGAACCAATGCAACAGTGATATACACAAGAAAATATGTTGTAAATCAGCTGTACAACTTGGGAGAAGGGTTGGAGGGAGAGAAATTAGGAGAAAAATGAGGGAAGGGGTAACATGGTTGACAAGAAATGTACTTATTATCTTACATATATAATTGTAACTCCTCTGTACATCACCTTGACAATAAAAAAATTTTTAAAAAGAAATAGTTACAGGAAAAATATTCAAAGTCTAAATAAGACTACTTTTGAGTTGAACTTAGATGGCCTACAAAACATGACTATTTAACTTTCACAAACCACAGATTTATGTTGCCTTAAGTGTAGTATGTGCTGTCTTTGTGGATGCTTCCATTATTTTTGGTAGTTCCATTAATGACATTGATGTTGATTGCTCAAAGTTTTTCAGAATTTCTTTCATTCAGCCCTAATATAAAAAGAAATGTTGAATAGTGCCTAAGAGACAGCAAAATGTTTGACAGGAGGAACAATCTGACCAATGCACCTACAAGTATGTTTCAGTCATACTCTTCTTACTTACCTGTGTTTTATTTTAAGGCATCTTGGGACAAGAATGCTCATCAAGCTGAAAAGAAAGAGAAGATAAGGAAAAATGAGATGATGCCATACACTATACTGATTTAAATCCTTGTACTTTGTTATTTTTCTAGGCCAAAGGAAGATCTTCAACAACCAAAAATGAAGTTCATTTTTACCTGCCGGTGCTTTGCACTGTTTGTTCTTCTGAATGTAAGTAAAGCAAGACTCTTCTGAGCCATGTTAATTGAGATGGCTGATGAGAAAGTAATGTTTGAGTGTGATTGGCTTGACATTTACAAGGTTAGGCATCGTTCTCCTAATGTGAAAACTAAGTTCCTTAAAAAAATCTCTTTTGTTAATATTTTGTTGACATGTCTCCCTTCTTAACCTAATTGGTTTTGTGATTTTCACAGAAAAATTTGAGTTTTATTAGTTCACAAAAATTTAGTATTATTTTTAAACATCTCCATTATTATCTTCAAAATTAGTAATGAGAATTGGCAATATTCTCAAATAAAATGTCAAGTTAAGTCATAATTTCTGAACTGTTCAATGTTTTTAAAACATCTGAAGTCCATTGGTCTTATTAATAATTTTACATTTACTTCTCCCCAAAACAAAGAAGTTTTAAGACTTTATATAGCATTGTTATTCCATAACTCTTTTTCCAGACTTTAAAATCATGATTAAATTATTTAATTTCCAAAAGGTCTAAAAGATTTATCTAGCTAGAAGGGTAATCAAGTAAGAAGACACTATTAAAGCCTGCCTATTTGTGTCAACATTGCTAACCCATCATTACTTTAGCTTCAGTAAGACATAAAAGGGAGCTGAATAAATTTACATAAATACGTTGATCTTTATCCTCTTCACCACATCAATAGTATTCACAAATGGATGCAGCTGCCAGTAAGGAGTACTTAATATCTCATCCCATGAAACTGACCCAACCAAGGCTTATGTAGGATTTCAGGATTTCATTATTATTAATATGTAGTTCCAGGGTTTAAGTAACCCAAACTGTTTCCCTTTCCATTAGTCGAGAACAAAATTATTACGAGTGTTCCCTAAATGTTAATTTAATTAAGAAATGAAGTTTTATTTTGTAATACTATCTATCAAATAAATGGTTTTGAGAAATGATTGTTAATGAAATTTTTTATACCTCTTTGGTAATATGGATAGTTTATTTATCCTATCAGGCTGTTAGATGACTTCAATTTATCAAATAAATATTTCTTTTGCTAAATTACAGTATAATTTTCTAAAAGTTACCCAGTACTTGTAAACGCAGGTTATGTCATGCTGTTAGAAAACTATACAAGTTCCTCAATAAGAGAGAGTGCCAGAATGTTTTATTTAGTCTATAAGTGTTCATGCCTTTTACGATATATGCAGAAACACTGGAACTTCTGTGATTCTTATATTATGTTGTTATTTGTTTTAATTCAAATAAAATCCTATGTGATATAGTATACGTAATCATTTCTAAACTTTGCATAATAAAACATATGATTATATTGGATATCATGGGAGAACAACTAAATACCAAAATAGATGGAACTACAGATAAACTTTGTATTTAGAAAAAAATAAAGCATGTCATTTTTTGTTTTTGTTTTTGTTTTTTTGTCGGTTGTGGGCCTGAACTCTGGGCCTGGGCACTGTCCCTCAGCCCTTCAGCTCAAGGTTAGCCCTCTACCACTTGAGCCACAGCGCCACTTCCAGCTTTTTTTGCTTATGTGGTGCTGAAGAATCAAACCCAGGGCCTCATGCATACAAAGCAAGCACTCTACCACTGAGCCACCTTCCCAGCCTAGCATGTTATTTTTATACAAAGTTGAACCTAATAAGTTTTGCAACTTAAAAATTGAAAAATTCACATATGACTTTATGCATTATATACAGAATTACTTTATGGTTAGTGGTCATCTCTTGATTAGCAAATGTAACTGAACAATGTATCTAAATGGTGTTGTGCTCTCTTTACTATGGAAAAAAAAGAAATTCTATCCTCTATATTTGGACTACATACTTCATTTGGAAGATTTGTCCATAAAACAAAATTTGATACATAAATTTTCTTCAAATACTTTCTTCCACTCTTCAAAGAAAGGAGCATTTTTTTCTATGACACATTCTTTTTTAAAACAAAAAAAAATCTTCCTGAAGCAATCAGTAGGCAGCTTTCCTTTCTGCTTCAATGAGCTTGGACTATTACACAAGCAAAGCATTTTTCAAAGCTCCAAACCAAACCATTCTATAACTGTTCTTCTCAAAGCTATCTGTAACCCAAAATACACTGATTGACATATCAAAGTAGGAACTGCTGTAGTTAACATATCAAAGTAGGATGTGTGATCATTTCATAGTAGAATATTTTCCTCTCCTTTCAATGATGAGGATAGATAGAACATTCCAGAATGCAAGCCCCACGAGGTCAGGAACCTTGCAAGTCTTGTTCACTTTTCCAGAAGCTAGAGCTTTGCAGAAGGTTAAAAGTATTTCTCAAATGACTCCATGATGTCTCAGCAGCTGATTACTGTTGTGGGCAGCTTGGCTGTCATATGTGTGGAGCCATTTGCTTGAACTTTGGGAAGTCACATTGCATATATGATGGCTAAACTGCTACACTGGAGATTTTGGTTTGGTTTTTGACGAATCATGTAACATAGTTTATTTGCAAAACTTGAACACTAGTCTTTATTGAAAGAATATGCCCTTGGTGTGTCATTTCTATCACCATTTAATATATAGAATAGAAGAAATCATCTAAAATATGGATTCATATATTTATTTTAATCCCTCAAAAGCATAGTATAGACACAACACTTGTGATAAGTCGATATTTTTACATCTTTCACACTGTCTGATTTTTTTTTTTGGCAGGGGAGAGAGGGGTTGGTCATGGGCTTGAACTCTGGGCCTGAATTGCTGCCCCTGAGCTCTTCAGCTCAAGGAGAGTGCTCTACCACTTGAGCCACAGCACCACTTCCACCTTTCTGGTGGTTAATAAGAGTCTCATGGAGTTTCCTGCCTGGGCTGGCTTTGAACCACAATCCTCAGATCTCAGCCTCCTTAGTAGCTAGGTTTACAGGCATGAGGCACAGGTGCCCAGCATGCTTGATTGTTTTATGTAATCCCTACTGATTTTTCTTTTGCCCCGTTATGATGACAATAATTGCTGAAAAATTACTACCTCAACACAATTTTTAGTTTATATTAAACATCAGAAAAGTTTTAATGAATTTTTTGAAGTTTGTATTGTTACTTTTAAGCAATAATAAATTTCATGATTGCAATTATATATGCATGCAATATTTATATACCTGTAAGTATATACCCTTTTTTCTGTATATGTATACATACACATACATATATAACATACATTTTCTATATATATATGGATATATGTAGACAGAGAGTGTATGTATGTCCCAATGTGTATATTATTTTAAGAATAAATTTATCACACATTCATCTACCACTAGGAAATTTGCATCATCAGTGCTCAAATATGGTAGACCAGGAGCAGACTCACATTGCTGTGACCCACCTGACAGCAGACTTCTGATTTCTCATTCCTTCAGTGTTAAAGCAATCTATTGAACCAAGCTCCAAACCAAGTTCATTGGAGTTTGTTTCAATATTGCAAGAATAGTAAGATTGTCATTGACATGAGCTTTACCTACTCTCACTAAGATATTATTTCCATGGTATCAGATGTTAAGGCTATGTTACACAAAACAAAGACGTGATTGAAAAATGGGCCAAGTTTTTCACTTGATATCTTTGTACATATTATTCCTTCATGGAACCAACAAATTTCCAACTAGTTCAGGAACATTTCTTAATGTGTTTTCAGTTGTAGGAAAACAATGCTCATCTGGAAAAAAAAAAACCTTAAAGGAAATAGTTTCTAAAGTGCATGTAAAATTTGATTTGATGACAAAACTAGCCCAGAAGTTAATAATGCACAAATGACAATTCTCATATCAACTAAAGAATCTAAGAGTAAAAATATCTTTCTTAGATACTTCTTAAAATATGTCTATATTCTAAAACAACAAGCATCTAGAATAGATACATAAGCCATTAACATCTGTACTGTGTAAGCTCCACGAGCTTTTCTTTCTTTGATGGCTCAGTAATAGTAAGTTGAATTCTTAAAGTGCACACTAATATATTTATCCAAATCTGGATTAATTAAATACAAAAAATTAAACACAAGAACTCTTCAAGGTTTTTTTTTTAAAGTTTCACAATCCTTGTTCCAATTCCTAATAGAATGAGAGTTACTCATGAAACTTTATTCTTTACAATTTATTGGTGTCAGGTTGTATGTTAAAAAAAATTGTGTTCTCTTTCATGAGTAAAGGGTTTGCACAAAATCATTTCACTTGGTTCATTAATTTCTCTTTTTTCTATAATAAATTTAATAAATATTGTACATTTAATGTTATCATAAAATGAGTACACATTAATATGTAATCTATATATTCAAGGATAATATCAACTTTATTTACAATAAGTGTCCATTGTTATAACAGTAAAAAGAATCCATTTTTATTCAGACGCATTGTTGACATTTCTATAACAAATATAAATCAATCCATGTAGGTTGTGTGTTGGTGAAACCAATTTAAAGATCTCAAAGTCAATTATCAGAGTTCCCAAATTCCATATTTTGTTTATTCTGTTGAATAAATAGAAATATTTATTCTGAAAAACTCAACCGAAGAATCATGTTTATTGCACTCTTTGTTTTTAATAATGTGATCTGTAATTTGTAAGAGTTCAAAAGCAGGCAAAATTAACTTACTATTGGTGTTTTTGGAAACTAGTTGCTTTCTTTTGTTTCCATCTAAACTTTATAATGATAATCAAAGTGAAATAATCCTAGATGATAGAAAATATGCATGTGTGGATGCTGAATACATCTTAAAAGAATTCTAAAATTAGTAGAGTTTATATATAAAAGACATATACTTTTTAATTGTAAAACAAAATGTTCTACATGGAAATTATAATGTTTTTTCCTAAGAGGAAAAGTATTTGCAAATTTTTATTATCTCCATTATGCATGTATTCACCAATCCCTACTCTGAGTAAGTAACTGAGTTTCCCTTTTAATACAGCAACCAACCCCAATTCTTCCTGCCTCTTCAAATCTCACCTATCAGCCAATGGATCATGAGCCGTTTCTGTACATGTTAGGACGCAAGAAGTTGCTTGATGCTCAGTACAAATGCTATGAACGAATGGAGCAGCTGCCTCCATACCAGGGAGAAGGTAAAGAGAAAGATACATATGAAATTATGTTTGAAACAGCATGAAGGATTTATTATCTTTCCTGGGTAAATACGTATTGAATAATTTAAACTTAATATTCCAACAGCTTTTGCTCCATGGTATAGTTGTGTATTTCTTGTGGCAGATATGCCTCATTTCTCAACTTCATCTAACTTCTTTTGAGCTAACATCTGCCCTCATGATAACATTACTGCAATAGCTCAGTACTAAGAAGCAGGAACGTTACAGGACTGGATGGGGGAGGAAGGGAACGGAAAATGACAGGAAAAAGAAGTGGAAAGTGGTGGGCAGAGAATTTGCCTGAGGTGGAATCTGTCAAAACCCTGTTACATTTAATTAGACATATCTTTATTTAATTAGATATATACTTCATTAAATAGACATACCTTTCTTTTGCTGTCAAGTGGTGGACAATTCATGCTGTTACTTACTCTTTCTATATCCATTTTCCTGGAGAATTAGGATCTATCCTAGACAAGCACTGTATATCTATCACCTTCTCTAAAATGATCTTTTTGATTTCCCAAATATTTTCAGTGCTAAGTATATTCTATAATCTATAGAAGTCTCAGAAGAAAATAAAAGAGAAGCTGTAATAGTCTAGGACTTCAAACATTCTAACATAACCCTAATTTGTCAAAGGGAAAACAGGATTAAACACATTATTACTACATGTGGTTTGATTTAAAATAGGTTTTATTTCAACTTCTTACATTTGCCACTAAACTAAGATCAAGTCAATTGAAAGACAGGTATTATTGTAACTGCAGTAGTTTCATTACTTATCAAGAACTAGAAAGGCATTAGTTGCAGCTCTGCCTGAAGGAGAAACCCTGTAGAAATGAGACAACAGAAACAACGATCATAACAATAACAACAACAACAAGCCTTATATTTTAAGAGACCAAGTGAGTTCAGTTGAGTTTTAAATCACCTTGAAAAATTGAGTTTTTTATGGTATGTTCATTGTTTTAAAAAAAATACCAAGTACCAGTGGTTCGTGCCGATAATCCTAGCTACTCAGAAGGCTGAACTCTGAGGATTATAGTTCAAAGCCAGTTCAGGAAGAAAAGTCTCTGTGAGACTCTCATCTCCAATTAACTACTCAAAAACTAGAAGTTGAGCTGTGGCTCCAAGTGGTAAAGTGAAAGTCTTGAGTAAAAAGAGCTTAGGACCAGCACCCAGGCCCTGAGTTCAAGCCCCACAACCAACAAAAAATAAACAAACAAAAATAAACTTTGAGAACTGGTCTTAGAGCCTGAAATTCTTTAAAGCATGTGGTAGGGTAGATTTCATTTTTGAAGATGGCAAGAAAACCCTTGGTGCCAATGTTGATGAACACATGAAGTGATCAAATTAAGTTGCTAACAAAGTATAATTCTAGACTAATAAAGCCTTTTTTGTGTGTTTTACCTACATGCTGAACATGCACATTCAGTAGGAACTTGGAAGAATTCCATCATCCTGCAATTAAGAATAGAGCTACACAAGGAAACCTTTTCAGATACATGGTTGTTAGAATCCTTATAGTCCAAAGCCATATAGATTTAAAAGGAAGCCCTCACTCAGGGATAAAATTGTGTGTGCACTAATAGCATTTTTAGTAATATTTTATTTTTTTAGTAGTATTTTAAAGGAGATTTTTTGGAAGAAAAATTCAGTAATTTGACATACATATCTTTTGAGGAAAAATGGAGTAAATCCTATAAAATAGTACATAAAGTTAATTCTTTAATTATGTTGCTGCTGCTTTCCCTTTTTTAAAAAAATATTTCCATATCCCAATGGAAAGTTCCAGAACAAGATAAACCTAATTGTCCACACACAATTAAATCCCACTGAGTCAACACTTGTTGAGAAATTTTAATTGTATCTTAATTGTCTAATTTAATCTTTGCCTCCCAACCAAATTTTTGGTTGTGAGAACCAGATTGCTCAGGGCAAATTCTCTGTTTAAATTCTTTTATATCTTGCCAATTCCTAAATGTTATTGTTTATAAATAAAGGCATAATGTAAAAAGATTGATTAGATGCAATATGCTGATAAATATTGCAACATTTGTCCTCTAAGAGTATTCTCATCCTTGAAATGTATTTTAAATTTTTGAGGAATTAATTGATAGTAGGAATTTTGTCAATGCCTTTCAAATCCTTATGCTGATATTGGCGAGAACACATAGCATACCTTACAAGAATGGCAAGACCTATTAATCCAAATCCAGTTTTCTGGTTGGATATTTTACAAAAGAATAAAGTTTTTAAAAGTAAAACTTACCACATACCAGCAGTGGGCCCATGAAAATCCATTCTACTAACAACCAACCTGTACCTCAAGTCCACAATTAAATAACTATAGAGAAGACTAAAACATAATCTACTTGCTCTTTTTGATACATTTTACCTTGGAACCTCTTACAGAGTAGAACTAGAACCATGACTGTCATCTCATGAGAAAAATCTGGTCATAGATAAGCTAAAGATAGTTAAGGCTATTTCAAAAGGTGATAATTGACTCTGAAACGCAAACTGTCCTGACTGCCTCAGGGGACAGGTACATGGAAGACTGACTTCTGATTGATGTCTTTTAGTTAAAACCACATGGCTTCCATGGCTTCTTGCTTTCTCTCTCTCTCTCTCTCTCTCTCTCTCTCTCTCTCTCTCTCTCTCTCTCTCTCTCTCTTACTTTGTCTCTCTCTCTCTTTCTTTTTTTCCTTAATAACCAGGTCTGTACTGCAACCGCACTTGGGATGGCTGGATGTGTTGGGATGACACGCCTGCTGGAGCCATGTCCTACCAGTTCTGCCCAGATTACTTTCCAGACTTTGACCCAATGGGTAAAGTATTTTCATTTTATATCCCCAGAGTTTCTGTAAATGGAATATTGTTTCATTGTGCAAGTACTACAGGGTGTCCTTATTTTTACAGTCATATTATGGGTTCATTATGCATATGAAATTCTGGTTTATAAAATTAGTTTTTTGGGGACGGGAGGGGGATGGAGGAGGAGATGAGAGGGATGGGAAAGGGAAACAAAGGAGGAGGCAACAATGCTTGATAAGAAATGTACTCATTACCTTGCTCATGTAATTGTAACCCCTCAGGTATGGTATTTTCACAATAAAAAAAAGAAACAATTGAGCCAATTGAAAGAACTCTCAGTAAAAAACAATAAAATAAAATTAGTTTTTCTAGGAGAGAGCAAGGGAAGGGGTGACATTGTTAAAAAAATGTACTATTTATCTGACTTACGTAATTGTAACCCCTCTGTACATCACCTTTGGCAATAATAACAATAAAGAATACATGAAGAAAAACAAGAATTGTAAGATACACACACACACACAACTATGTTATTTTCCATATACATATAGAAATAGATATTATATATACAACAAAAATAAAAATGTTAGCCAGGTGCTGGTGGTTCACACCTGTAATCCTAGCTATTCGAAAAGCTGAGATCTGATTGCAGTTTGAAGCCAGCCCAGGGAAGGACAGTCCATGAGGCTCTTCACTCCAATAAACTACTCAGAAAAAGCTGGAAGTAGCATTATGGCTTAAGTGGTAGAGTTAGCCTTGAGCACAAAGAGGCTCAGGAACAGTGCCCAGTTCCTGAGTTCAAGCCCCAGGACCAGCAAAAAAATAAAAATTAAATAAAAAAATAAAATTAAATTAGCTTTTCCAAAATTCTGTGAATACATTTATTTATTAGTTACATTTTCATATCTTAATTATTTAAATATAATTACTTATGATTATAATTAATTATAATTTGAAATATACCACAGATACAATATATAAGTCCCTACAGTAGATTGAGGTTTTTTTTAACCCCTCAAGAGTGAACTGAGCATTAACCACATATCCAGTAAAGGGTGTTAATTAGCTCTAGAATCCCAGTGAGACTGGACAAATGAGTTTGTCCCTGGTAAAATGTTTGGAGGATATTTCATTCAAAGATATCATTTGTTCCTAAAACCAAAATTCCACCCCGCAAAGGTAACGATGATTGAGGTATAGTTGCAGACGGCCTCCTTTTAAACTAGTACACATCAGTTACTTCTGGGAATTCCTATTTTGATAGAAAAGTTTGGAGTGTAATAAAAAGGCTTTGTAGAGTGCCCTAACTCCTAGCTACAGTCTTATAAACTCTAAATCTATCTAGTGGTAATCCTTCAGGTCTTTAGTGACTCTTATCAATAAGTGATGCTTCATTAATCTTAATTTGACAGCTGCATTAGAGGTAACTTGATTGGCACAAAGATCTGTTTGGCCATTGAGTCTACCTGGCCAGTTCCAAAGGAGCAGTGGACTAATGCCAAAATGGTGGTAAAATATTGACTCAAAGGTGAGGTTTTGATGAGCAAAATAGGCATTTCCAGATATAAGTGCATCATTTCAGACCAGTTTTTTTTTAATGGAACCCTGAGTCTTATAAACATTCCATTTCACACACACACACACACACACACACACACACACACACACACACACACACACACCATTTTTAAAACATCTTTATTCAACAAATTTAAATGATTAAGGATTTTAATATTGCACTAAAACCTACATCTTCAGGATATGCACAAACCATCTGGCCTTTTAAAGGTTTGAAAGGTTTCATTTTAGGGAAAATGCTTGGTAAAGATAAACAGTGAAAGAATAAAGAACAATATTGAAATTCAAAAGAGATAACTCAGCAGGAATATGCCAGAGGGTAAAAAGCACCATGTAACAAGGAAGCATTTAGAACCTTGCTAGCATCAATATAAACCAATAGTAATGGCACAGAGCCAAGATGGACGAAAATGGTTTAGAACAGGAGTTCTCAATCTTGATGCCCTTTGGAAACATATATAGAGGGAGTGTTTATAAATTTTATATTATTATGTTTATTCACACATAATACTACTAGGATTTGAGTCTCTAGGGATATAGCCCGAGAATCTGTAAATTAGAAGTGGCAATACCCACTTTTTTCTGAAGATAAAATGAGACAATGCATATTAAAATACATTTAATAGCCATCCCATCCATGTAACCTCTGTTGACTGATGTTCTCATTCATGGGTCTACTGATTAACATTTTGGAATGGCTTTAAAGTTTTCAATTATGTTTTATCCTTCTTGAGATTTTTGACTTAGTAAGGTCACAACTGTTACATTTCATTAACAGAAAAAGTTACGAAATACTGCGATGAAAAAGGGGTTTGGTTTAAGCATCCTGAAAACAATCGAACCTGGTCCAACTACACTTTGTGCAATGCTTTCACTCCTGAGAAACTGCAGGTTGGTTCTATTTCAGATCTCAGTACTGGATAACAAGGCTTTTGTACATGGGGATGAATAAATATCTGCTGTTAAAACAAATTGATGATGAGTTATAAATTCTAGAGTCTCTGCCATTAGAGGAAATAGTATGTCTCTTTTTGATTGCCACTCAGTGTTGCAGGGACTTCTGTGAGCAATGGAATCAAGCCATTGGACTATATAATGGGAATCCCTCTGAAGCCAGAAGTTGGACATTTTGAGACTCTCCCTAACATCTCTCTCATCCTGGAAGAGTGTGGTTTCCCCACAAGTTACAGGCTAAAGGCTACCCTGCCCTCTCCTCAATTTCATTATCAACCATTGAGGAAATCCTTATTGAGGGCCTTCTCATTAGCCTGTTGATACACATATAGCAGTTGAGATTATTTTCAGAAGCAACCTATTCCTATTCTTATTTGCTAATACTTACGTCTTCTTAGCTACTAATGTTTTGAATAACATCTCAGCTTAGAAAAGATTATTTTGAGCCAATGTAGGGGAGAAACTGCACCAGAAATCCTCTTCACCCTGAAAGGAGATAATGTTGATGTTTATCTACATTGTACGGATGCTTATCTGAACTACTCTTCAGGTTGCAATCTGATTTGATATTTCCCTCAAAGATCAACCTGAGTACTAATTAATTACTACATAAATTGCAAAAAAAAAACAAAAGGGCTGCATGCATTTGTTTGCTGGTAAGAAGTTTGAAGAGTATATAATTTCTTTAGTAAAAACAAAATAATATATCCTATTCATATAAACTGCATAGAAAATGAAAGTGAACAAACTGGTTTTTAAATGGGAATTCCTTTGTACAACTAAAGATAATAAAAATATAGTTTAAGAACACAATAATAGCAGCACAACTAAGATGAATAAATAGAATAGAGACCAGTTGACTAATAGGACGTCTTGTGACAGGCTCAAGATAAAGGCAGTGAAGACAGTGACCTCTTTACAAATTAGTCAGCTCATCAAGCTCAGAGGCATCCTAATGGAAAGCTCTTTACTTAATAAAGTCGGATTGAAGTGACATGTCACCGAGTAAGGAATTTCCTTTGTGAATGCTGATTAGAATCTGATAGAAAAAAATTTAACTATGTTAACTGAATTGTTATAAATAATGCAAATTCAAAGAAATGATAATCAAGGCTGCCATGTTTAACCATCACACACACCCTGGCCACATCTGAGAAAGAAATAACTTTAAGAAATAGAAATGTTCCTCTCAAAGCATCTAGTGTGAGATTAAATTGTTTTCCACAAATCCTTCTCACAAAAATTTCCAAAAACAAATCAACCAAGATATTAATTTTTAATATCTTTACACAGTTATACAAAATATTTCAATAGGTCTACCAATATATAACATCTTTCTCTTTGACCAATGGCTAGAAAAGAGAAAAACTTGACTTCTTCAATCAAATAATTACTGAGAATACTACTTTTTTTCAAAGGTATATTAATTGCTATGCAAAGTTGTGTCTATTTGCATCCTAGGTTTAAAAAGGCATAAAAAACCTGACACCTTAACTGTGCTTCCTCTCAGTATATTCCTAATATTCCCAATGCTGAGAGTCAGAAGAATTTGGAAAATAGAATCGATTCTACACATTATTTATAACACTTCAGTATCAGATAGAGCCCAGTCTATAATAGGACCCTAGAACTGCCTGCATTACTTATTGGGCATAGCGGGTAGCAAGTTTTATTATATTTAAAACTATTTCTGTAGTATATTTTAAACAAGATTTTCTTCATCTCAAGGAACTTTATTCTTAAAAAGTAAATTGATTTATTTCTGGAAAATAATATGAATAAACAAAAAATTCATCCTCTAAAGTATTTTTGTAATTAGTAGATACTTTAAAGAAGGAAAACCTTTGTTGATTTGCACTAGTCTCTAGACATCAAACTATTTCCTCTTTTTCCAGTCATTCATTCATCTATTTTTTTTCTTTTAACATTTCTCTTCCAGAATGCATATGTTCTGTATTACCTGGCTTTGGTAGGTCACTCTATGTCAATCTTCACATTGGTAATTTCCCTGGGGATTTTTATGCTTTTCAGGTAAGCACATTTACAGCATCTGATTATTTATTTATTTACTTCCGTACTTACTTGTCTGTCTGTCTAAGGGCTTTGAAACCAGGGCTTGGATGCTGTCCCTGAGCTTTTTTGTTCCAGGATAACATTCTACCACTTTGATTGACAGCTCCACTTTCAGTTTTCTGGTTGTTACTTGGAGCTAAGGGTCTCATGGACTTTCTTACCTGGGCTGGCTCAGTCTCAGATCCCAGCCTCTTGAGTAGCTAGGATTACAGGCATGAGCCACCAGCACCTGGCTCTGATTTTTATTTTCTGTTGTAAGTCACTTAGGTAAATGGCATATTCTGCAAGTGTGTGATGTGTGGCAAGGCTCTTTCACAAATCCTAAGAGATACAAACAGTTAAGAGTGATAAAGTAGCAAGAAAATGAAATGTTAAAATATGCCTTACTTTGCGGCAGTCAGGATGAAGCCATAATTATTGTCAATAGCAATATACTTCCTTTCCAAAATAAGACAATCATGTTATCTAAAAATACATGGTGGTAATGTGGTAAAGGCTCTGCTTGCCATGGTTAAGGTTCCATCAAGTATTGAAGAGAGGATCCTCCACCTTCTCTTATCCCCACTTCAATATCTGAAGGCCATGGCCACTAATTCAAATTCATCCTACCTTTCTAAGCCAGAAGATTAGTTAATCCATGGCAGTGGTTAGCCAGGAAAGAAAAGAATAGTGTAGAATAATATAATCTTAATTTGATATTTATTAAAATACCATCTTGAATGCCACACTTAGTGGCTCATGCATGTAATTTCAGCTACTTGAGATAAGAGGATCACAATTTGAGTCTAGCTTGGGCAAAACTTAACAAAATCTTATTTCAAATAGAAAGAAGGCAATGTGGTTCATGTCTATTAATTACAGCTATGTAAGAGACGGAGTGTATCATGCTCCCACACCTGCCCTGGGAAAAAGTAGAAGATCCTATCTGAAAAAAATAACTAAAGCAAAAATGACTGGAGACATGGCTCAAATGTTAGAGTCTTTGGATTAGTCAGCATAACACCCTGAGTTCAATCCTCAATGAATGAATGAATGAATGAATGAATAGGCAAACTTTAATAGTGCTAAATAAAATTAAACCAGGAGATGGATAGGCACTTATTGACACAGCTTGAGCACAACTCCTAATTTTTATTTTTGCCAGTCCTAGGACTTGAACCCAAGGTCTGGATTGTGTCCTTGAGCTTATTGGTTCTACCACTTGAGTCACAGCCACTTCCAGGAGGTTTCTTGGGGTGATTAATTGAAGATAAGAGTCTCATAGACTTTCCTTCCTGGGCTGGCTTTGAACTGTGATCCTCAGATCTCAGCCTCCTGAGTAGCTAGGATTACAAGCATGAGCCACCAGAGCCTGGATACAACAACTATTTTTATCTCAATTATTTAAAATCTTTGTCTACATCATTTTCAAGATTCTTGTAGCAATGTAATTAAATAGTAATTTTTAACTGAATAGTGAATAATAATGTAAGCAAACAGTCAATATCTGTTTCCATAAGTGCTTTAACAGAAGAAACCCTGAGAAAGAGCAAGACATGATGAATTAATCACTAGTGGAAGAGTATTTTCAATTATACTGATCAGAACATGGCAGAGTAATCACATAACATGATTCATTTTGTGATGTCTCGTTTTCTCAATTGTTCTTCATTATGGTGAATAAATACATCATCATGACTCTCACAGCTTTGATTAAAGAGTCTGCTACTAAGAGTTTTCTTTTTAAGTTGTTTATATAATATATAGTACATATTTGTATATGTAGTATACCTACTATACATAAGAAAAGTAAATGAAAGTCCTCCATATTTGTAATCATACAAGTTATAGGTATAGTCAGGACTTCAAAGGTAAACATTACAAGAGCATTGGCAAAGAAAAGAAGGTCCTTTTACCCATGTTTTCTGTATCAAGTCACTGAAAATGGATAAAGGTATACCATATAGGCCAAGTAAAATAGCTTTCAACTCAAGTTAAACCCAAAACAAAAGTGATTCTGGTGAAGCTGGAGGGAGTGTCATGGTGACTGTCAGCACTGAGTTTGAACTAGTATCTCTCAATTTCAAGGATAAACCAAGACAGCAACGTAAGCCCCAGATGTTGGAGGAAGAGACAAGTCTTATTGATTTATCATCTGTATCTAATCATGAGAAGCTGGTACAGCAAGGCAGCCACTGGCTCAAGATGTGAATGAAATACACAGGTCACAATGGTTCACTTAACAAAAGATGTTATTCATAAATTCTATACTTCTTCTTAATCATTTTATTTAACAATGTGAAAAGTCTCTTTTCTTAACATTAAATTACATTGCTGACTCTTCAACTTTTTCGTATATGTGTGTATATATATATATATATATATATATATATATTAAAAATGATTCTGAAAATAGAAAGAAATTGTGACCTATCCTTAAATTTTACCTCTTAGTCAAACTTGTCTAAAATTTTTTTCAGTCAACATCACTTTTAATATCGTTGCTGCATTTCACAGTAAAAAGTTTTTATCATTTGTGCACTTAAATGGCATCATTTATGTGAAACTTGAGCCAAAAAAAATCCATCTATTGCTTAACTCTGTATTTTCAGGGTTATTTTTGCAATATACAAATAGTTTCATAAAAGTTTCATGAACTCAAAATGAGATGTTAGCTTGCTCCACTTGAGAGCTTCTGCCTCATTCATAATTATGCCATTGAAATCTCACTCTGAAGCCTGCAGAGCTCTCCACATGTGCCTCACAGGGTCAATTAGAAGGAGCAACCCTTCAGACACCCGCAAGCCAGTTGACTAAGCAGACACAGAGGAATTTGATGTTACTGAATGCACAGGATGCTATAGAATAGCCCAGTAATTCACTAAAAATCTGAAATATGTGTTAAAGTGAAATCATTACAGATTACCCCCAATTTAAATGTGCTTATACTTTGGCAAGACTAGGTAACCCTAACACAAATAAGAATCGTGCTCCCTGTACCACTGGATAATTGATGTAGAAGTAATATATAAAATCTTTGTTATCTTAAATTTAAAAATTGAGTTGGGGAAGTGATATTGATCAAAATGCCATTGTATTCATAACTTGTTAAATGGCAACTTGTATGTACAACTAACAGGATAATAAAAAATTGAATTTCTATACCTTCTGCAACTTGAGCAAAATAGGTGTGTAATTTGAATAGTAGCAAAGTCAGTACTAATGACCTAAGCTATTCTTTCTGCCATCTCCTGCCTGATGTGCCAAGTGTTTTTTCACACAACTCTTATCAAGCTCAGTAGACTTTCCACATGAAGCACACTGCAAAACCTAACCATGTCTCCTCGAAGAACCCTTCCCTTAATTAATTCTACATTTGTATGACTTAAAGGGATTTTAGCACCTACTTTCACTTTTTTTATGAAGCCATCTTGAACACTGAATTCTATACGCCTCTATGACTGAAAAAAAAAAAAAAGGTTTTTAATGTTCTGTTTAAAAGTCAGGCTCGGCACTGGTGGCTCACTCTTGGAGGATGAGATCTGAGGACTGAAGTTCAAAGCCAGCATGGGCAGGAAAATGTGTGAGACTCTTACCTCCATAACCACCAGGAAACCAGAAGTGGTGCTGTGGCTCAAAATGGTAGAGTACTAACCTTGAGCAAAAAGAACTCAGGAGCCCAGGGCCCTGAGTTCAAGCCTCACAACCAACAAAAAATAAATAAATTAGATGATAGACGACAGACAGACAGACAGACAGATAGGCAGAGAGATAACTCAAGAAGAAATGTCTTAAAGATGAGACCCATGTTACATCTTGCATGTGGATGTATATGTATATTTTCTTAATCTGTTGCTAAGGAAAACACGAAAAATACCACTAAATAATTTCTTCCTAGAAATGTCAACATTGTGGTGTCATGTAATGTTTTATGTTACTTTGTCTTCCAGGAGTCTTGCATGCCAGAGGGTTACACTGCACAAGAACATGTTTCTTACCTACATTCTGAATTCGATAATTATCATCATCCACCTGGTTGAAGTCGTACCCAATGGAGAGCTGGTGCGAAGGGATCCGGTTAGCTCGCATGATTTTGTGTTTAATTTTATTTTTGAGAGCATCATACTTCAGTACATATTTCCTTTTTATTTACATATACTATTTGTACAAAGGGGTTTCACTATGACATTTCCATATATATATTGATCACATTTGCATGTCCCCTCTCTATTTCTCTCTTATCCCTACTCCATCTCAATAACTTTAATAGGCTATTTTCTTAAATCTATACAATGTCCTTCAATCATATTTATCGTCCCAAATATCTTTATCTCAAAAAATCCACACATATTTTCTTTCCATCTCTTTAATAAGTCTACCTTTCTTATTCTTAATAACAAATCATTTTTCTATATAACTGGCCTGTACTTCAATTGGTTGATTCAAAAACAGTTTAAGTATATAACTATTTATGATATTTCATAAGAAATGACCAACATTTGATCAATTTTTGTTCTGAAACATCGACAAATCTATATTTTCTTTTTCTTTCTTTTTTTTTTTGGTCCAGTCGTGGGCCTGGGCGCTGTCTCTCAGCTCTTCAGCTCAAGACTAGCCCTCTACCACTTGAGCCACAGCGCCACTTCCGGCTTTTTTCTTTTTGCTTATGTGGTGCTGAGGAATCGAACCCAGGGCCTCAGGCCTGCAAGGCAAGCGCTCTACCACTGAGCCACCTTCCCAGCCCCCCAAGTCTATATTTTCATCCTAATGCAAATGCACGAACAATCCGCTCACGAGTGCCTCCACTGTAGGCCTAAAGAGACAAGAGGAGGGAAAGATGAAGGAACCCAAAGACAGAGAAGTGGTATGGGGTAGGCTGACATTCAGAAACTCAGGACTGCTGTCTCCAGATGCAACCAACCTGTGGTAACCCCATGGAATAGATCGGGAATAAATACCCTTCCTTTGCTTACTTTCAGCTCTCCATTAGCTGAGCTCACCCAGAAACTAGAGGGCAAAGAAGCCCCTGATGGAGACATACACATGTATTCCTCTGGGCCCAGGGTGGTGAGAAACAGGATGGAGAAGGCGTCCGGTGGCACAAACAGAAGCTGCTAGCACATGGGGAATGCCAGGGGATATTTTCATTTTCATTTCTCTGCTTAAATGCAAGCATCTGTAGATAGCCTCATCTTTCAAAACTGACATTTGACAGTTCTGCCAACCCAGTGACAAAAATGTATGAAATCTGCCCAGAGCATGCATCCTGCTTGACAGTGGCATAGCATGGGAAAGCAGCTTAATTAGGCTTCTAATGAATCCAGAGTGTTAATCATTTTTTGTAGTATGAATATATCCAGAAAGGCATTATGATCCATCTTTTTAAACCATGGCATCTGCTACTGGAGACAAAGTCCTGTTTTAGCTGAAAAAAAATGTGACCAAATGGATTTACCTTGATGCGTTTTCTTTTTTAGTGCCATCAAATTTAAATAAAAATGCATCTCACTTAATTTAATCCTTACAAAGCCCCACTTGGAAATAGGTATTATCTGGAAGCTGGAAAAGTAGTCTTATGAAGCTGGAAAGAAGTCTTAGTGAAGGCAAGATTTCCCCCTACTGAATATATAGATACAGAGTTCAAACACAGACCTATTTCATACAAGTTATCTCTCTTTTCTATAGTACATGGTATTCTTGACTTTATTTATTTCCTTGGGTACATATCTATATATATAATTATTAGTATTTAATATAATAAATATATTATAAGCATTAAATATATAATAAACCTATAAATATATATGTCCTTCAAGACATGGGATCAGCCATTACAAAGCAGTGATTTTCCATAATTGGACATACAAGTACAGTTTTGATGAAGCTGAGCTTCCATTCAGATTAAAAGAGAGAGAAGCAATTCACTAGGCATCTCCCAAAATAGAATAGTCAAAATTTCTCACTTTTCATTTCCCATGGAGGGAGAGTGGAAACGCTGAGGTAGGAGATAAGCTAGCGAAGGACACTTCTGTTATTGGATAACCAACCATGTCAACATGAGAGCGATATTCAAATTACAAATTAAATTTTTTTCACAATTAAACTTTTCCTCTCTGTCTTTTGGGAGTCTCATCCCTTTATGTCATGTTTCCAGCCTCTCCTCAAATGTAACTGGAAATGGGCATTTTTCCCTATTGTGAGATTGTGCTAATCTTTATCTTCATGAAATAATTATGAAGTCTGGCTCTTTTTTCTGAGTTCACTACTAAATTACAGAAACTGCTTCACCTCATCTGGCCATCAGAGTAACAAAACAGTCATTAGGCTGACGTGAATGGCTATTATTTGAGGAAAATAACTATTTTAATTTTTTATTATCTCTAAGTAGTCTGTCTTTGGTCATACCACCCTGAATACTCTTGATCTCATCTGAAAATATCTATTCATCACATCTCCTCCATCATCTTTCAGAATGAGCTGAGCCTCCCATAAAACTTTCCTTGTCTCACAACCATAAATGTGGGATTCATTCATGTTTTAATCTATTTTGAATTGTGATTTTTTTTTCATGAAAAAGGAAAAAATAATTGGATATTTTTTTCTCCCTCTGTATATCTAAAAACAAAACCTCCTTTCCTCCCAGGCTCTATACAATGAGAATGGGCCTTCAGTAGCAACCCACTTCTGTCTAAATGGAGCCACATCACAGTGTGAGAACCCACTGTGTGTGCTCCCACAGGCCCAATTGTCTGTTTTCTCCATAAGACAAAACATGGGAGCACGTGTCTGTCACACAGCACATGTAAGTAGTACAGGCCAAAACTCAGTGCAGTGAAAAAAACGAATTCATGCTTGTGAACTGTGAAGCATATAGAAACTAGGACATTTGTCTTTTAGTACTTTCTCTGAACCCATTTTCCAATGATAGTTTTATTAAATGGCTTAACTTTCTATATTTAAAAGTAAACATGTGAGTTGTCTCTCTAGGAAAGCAAAATTGGTTCAAGAAAAGCAACAATGAGCTCTCAAGTAGACATGTTTTATACATTGCTCATCCTTGAAATTGTTTACTGTCTCTAAGAGATACACAATGAAAATTTTGTATTCTTACTGTGAAAATGGATCTTTCATAAATGCATTCATAGAAGCCCAATTTCTTAACTATCTTTTTCCCAGTCAAGTGTTACTTAAGTGGATTGCAGTTGGAACAATAATAGGTATCAAGAAAGAAGACATTTTCTTTATTGTCGTATATTTGAATATATTGGGAATGAACAAGAACTCAGGTTTAACTGCTTGTCTCAAGCTCTATCTTTCTTAGGAGTACTTTTCTTCTTTTTAAGAGACAGACATAACAGTATCCAAAAGTTGAGATTCGTGTGATCAGCATTGTTAAATCATATGCAGAATTATGTACTTAAGGTTACTTCAAATGAATAATTTGAAACATTGCTTTCAAATAATTCTGGAAAGCATATATAGAAGCACTCAGTCTATTTTTGATGATTCAAGTATATGGCTTTTTGAAAAGAAAAATAGAATTACTAATTTTAAAGATGTTTACCCTTTTAAGAAAACTATAGGCAAAGATGTAGAGTTTTATTTTGTTTTGTTTTTAATTTTTTAATTTAATTTTATTGTCTAGGTGATGTACATATGTAAAGCAATGAGTATTGTTTTTAAATTTTGACCCAATCACTGAATCAGTAAAGAAGACACACAAAGATTGTCTATACAACACTAAATGGAATAATTTTCAGAAAGTTATGTTTTGGAGAGATGCTGAGTAATCCAAAATATTAGTACACTACTCTTAGAAGGTTTTAATTTTACTGTGAAGAGAGAGACAGAGACAGAGAGAAAATGGAGTGTTCTTGCTCAGTGATGAATCTCTGGATTTGTAGTCACGTCACCAAAGTAGTTTCTTCCCTCTGAAATGTTTGAGTATGCATGTTCTCTTATAGGAATTATATTCTTTCACATTTTTCTATTTTGTTCTTTTTGAAAGTTAAATTCAAAATAACTCATGGGAGCCAGGTGCCAGTGGCTCACGCCTGTAATCAAGCCTAGCTACTCAGGAGTGTGAGATCTGAAGATAGTGGTTCAAAGCCAGCCAGGGCAGGAAAGTCTGTGAGACTCTTATCTCCAATAAATCACTAGAAAACTGAAGTGGCGCTGTGGCTCAAGTGGTAGAGCGCTCGCCTTGAGCTAAAGAGCACAAGGACAGTGCCCAGGCCCAGAGTTCAAGCCCCATGACCAACAACAACAACAAAAAGGGCATAAATAAGGATTAAATAGATCTCAGCTTATTGAGTGATGTGAAAATTTCCCCTTGTCATTGTGTCATTTGAATACTTCATTTCTATTAATATCTACAGTTCCATTTATTTTATCTGTTCATTTGATTATCTCCATGTAGAGCTGAGAGGCAGAATTAAAAGCATTTTTCTTTCTTCATCTAAAGGAAGCTGGCAAAATATTTCTCATTTTTTACAAGGAAATATCTCTTAAATTTTAACTTTCCAAGCATATATATCTCCAGTAACTAAAGAGACAAGAGAGATACTCACTGAAGTCTCTTTATTTTAATCCAATACTGTCATAAAAAAATTTAAAGCCAATAATAATGAGGCACTTGTATTGCTGTGCATTGGTCTGTATTGCATCCCCAGATGCAAAAGTTTGAAGAAGAATGCTTGGCAGAGCTCATTAATGTGTTCAACTTTGGTTGAATATGCTTATCTACTCTTCTTTTGTTTGTCCATAAATTAAGTAGTTTATTTAATGTTAAGAGCATAGCCCCTACTAGTTGGGTTCAGTTGTTTTTCCTCTGACTTAAGTGTTAGGTTTTGCTACCTACTGTAAAGTTGGCTAGACATTTTCCCTTCTGTAGAAGCCATGCATGGTGACACTTTCTTGTTTCTGTATCTGTCTCCCCATCAAAAGATCCCTATGTCTGCATTGTATTTTATCTTTGCAGTACTTAAATATATCCTAGGATTAAACACCATAAACAAGTAAAATTTCCATATGTGAAATCCCAAAATATGTTAAGTAATGAAGTATGCTACTTGAAAGGCATCTTTTCTAGTATGCTACTTTGAAGGATGATGGTCCAGAGCCATCCAGGTGATATCTCCATCTCAACCAAGCTAGGAGTAATATGTGTGTGTGTAGACCAGTTGTGTTAGAGTTATAACTAAGAGGGTCACAGGAAAAATCATGAGATCCTATCTGAAAGATAACTGAGCCACAAAAGGGGGCCATAGGTGTGATTCAAATGGTAGAGAACCTACCTAGCAAGTGGCAAGGTCCTAGGTTCAAACCCAAGGGCTGCCAAAGAAAGAAAGATGTCTTGGATAAGTACCCAGGATATAACAGAGAAAGAACACTTTTGTAGGCTTGGCTTCTACTGGTATAAATCTGTACCCAACCACTGATTTGTGGGTACAGAGGGTGCCAATGTTGACAGAGTCTTAGAGAAACTGCTAAATGAAGATACTTTGTCTCCTGTTTACATTTATCCTTGGGTCACTAATGGACCTCTATTGATGTCTTCATTCTTTCTGATAGGTGACCTGCAAGATTTTGCACTTCTTCCACCAGTATATGATGGCCTGCAACTACTTCTGGATGCTGTGTGAAGGGATCTATCTCCATACTCTCATCGTGGTGGCTGTGTTCGCTAACAGTCAGCGCATGCTCTGGTATTACCTCCTTGGCTGGGGTACGTATTTCTTCCAACTGAGTTTGGAGCCCTCTTCATCTGTATTTACGTATTTATATTGTCTTGTAGTCTTGGTCTCAAAGAACAGAGTGGAAGAGTGTCTTGAGGACATAAACTAAGTCATGGATGGATGGAACACATATCCTGATGGAGCAGAGTGCTGACTAGACCCCCTGTTACTTTATCACACATTTGCAGAGCGCTTCCTCAGCCTCTTTCTGTCCGTCATCAACAGGACTCCTCCAGTGAAAAATCAGACAACGGAGTCCAACTGAGAAGCAAGCAGAATCACAAAGGTCTTCAAGTAGCTTGGGCCCAACATCATAGTATAGACTATGACTGTCAAAAGCATAACACCAGTTAGGTCTGTCCTAACTAAAGTACAGTAAATGTCTTTCAGAACTCTCTAGAATTTCTCCCCTCCTCCAAGGATCTGAAAAATCCATTCCCTTTGGAGGAAAGATGAGACAGTAAGAAGGAAACATAATTAGGACAGAAACACACACTACTTTATGCCCCCCCTCCCAAAAAAAAAGTTATTCGCTCCTAAATTACATCCCAGAAGGAGAATCTCATGGGCCTTCGTCACTGATCATCGAGCTGAAGGCTTTCCTTACAAACTGCTCTGGTAGAGTGGCTGTAGATCTCAGAGCAGAGGCTACAAATGACCTTCAGCTTGGTCTACCCATTTCTTTTTGAACAGTGTCACCTCTTCCCTCATTTTCTCTCAGTTTTTTTTCCCTCCTGATGCCCTTCCCCCACAAGTTGTATAGTTCACCTTCAACATAGTGTCTAGTGAGTATCATTGCTGCATTAGTTCACCCTTTGTCCCTCCATGTGTGTTCCCCCTTACCCTCCACAAAACAGATAAACTTATATACGAGACCAAAAGTACAGAATCAAAAACAGGGACAAAGGGAAAGGGAAAAAAACAAAACCTAAACAAAAAGTAAAATAACTAAAAAACCTCTTCTTTCCATTTCTTGGACTTCTTTTCAATAACTATCATTTTATATGATCACATGCACATAGCTATTAAACTTTTGTGATCCTCTCCTAAGAATATCCTCCTTTGGTCTCACTGTGTGAATATTTACAGTCCTGTTTAATTTGTCATGTTCAAGTGTAATTTTTTGTCTTTTACCCTCATTGTGTTATTTTGAAGACTTATAGGCACATTCTAATTACTAAAACCATGCAACCAATGTTTCTTTGGGACTAGTTATTTCACTTAATATAATTTTTTTCCAAGTCTTTCCATTTCCTTACAAACGGATACAGTGAGGAAGGAATATTTGGTTAGGAAGGAAAAGGATGCAGGGCTTTTTTTTTAAAAAAAAATCAGATATTTCATTGAAAATCTAAACAACAAGCACTGTTACCAACTTTACAGAAATGTGCCTTGGGAAGTCTATACAATAGACATTTTCATGATCTGTATATCTGTGCTGCCCCTATGTAAGACTGTCTTTTTCTGTTATGCCCATTTTAATCAAAGATATTGCTAAAACCCAGTAGGCTGTCCCTATAATAGTGGAGCAGAGCTACAGGTGTGTGAAAGGCTTCATAATTGAAATGATGACGCTACCACATTTTAGTTGCCAGTAACAGAATCTGAAAAATGACTCAACACACACACACACACACACACACACACACACACACAAAAACCTTCTGTCAAATCTAGTTTATTACCACTAAGAAAAAATTTATAACCTATTTCTTAAACCAGTTTTGACTATTCAAAATCATCTATCACACTCAGAAAATTTTCCATTGGGAAAAGTCCTTTCATAGACTTTAACATTGAACAAACAGCATTATTTTCCCTTTTATAAGAATCTTGTTTTTCTTGTCATTATCTTTGGGGGCTGGGATAGGTTGTTACAAATCTCATGATCGGGAGAAAGAAAGCAAGAAGGAAGAAAAAACAAAACATAGGCAAAGAACTCCAGGAGTTAGATGTGGGGGTCTGTACCCTCCTCTCTATTCACTAGAGAGCATACATTACCTCTCTACAGAATGAGCAGGTAGGATTCAGATTTCCATATGCCTCTTTTGCTAATTCTGAAATGTGTGGTTCAGAATAAATCCAGGGTGAGTTTTTGCTCAGATGAAGAAATTGCATATTAGAACTGCTGTGAATAACACAATCCTTTTGAGTAAATAGTTCAACTAAAAATTATTTCAGGTCAAACATTTAATCAATAGTCCTATAGCATCATATCTTTCATAGGTTTGAAAAGTGAGGCTTTATGCATATAGATCACAGAAGGTGAAAGTCGATAGGCTTAATTCTCACCTGAGACACATTTTTTTAATCTGATGAAAATAAAAAGTATCTTAATGTAACTAGATACATATGAGTTCCCCCAAAAAGATGCTTTTAAGGAAGATTCCAACTTTATATTTACAGAATAAAATTTATTTTAAAAAGGTGATTTGTCAAAATGTTGTCGGAATGACCTCTGTTGTTCCACTGGTAAATTCAACGATGGTTTCACTAGTACTCTGTGTTTAGCTGGGAAAATGAATACAACACTGCTTCCAAGAATGAGCTGCAGACAGAAAACAGAGTAGAAAATACACTGGCTTCCTTAAAGTATATGTGTAAAACTATACAGGATTAATGCCCATGCTATAAGCATACAGAAAAATGAAATATATAGAAGGAAGGTATAAGATTAATGATATCACCATAGTTTCAGGGTGTCCCAATGTCTCTCCATAGGAGTCTAGTTCGCTCCCAATGAAGAAATTTCTGGTTTCAGTTAATAGTCTTCATGAAAATCGAGATCATAAACATAACAATGGTAATGAAAGTCATAAAGGAAGTTATCATGTAACTACTAAACTAGGTAACTAGTGAAAGGCTCTTAATTATCTGAATTATCTTAACCAAATTCTCTGAAGTATCTGGTTGTCTAACCAAAGTTCTGGCTTGACTAAAGTCAACTTTTACATAGACCTCATAGAAGATAACTTGCCACAGTTTTGGGCAAGGATGCTAGCTTATTCCAAGCAAGGATAACTAGAAGTTATGACCTAATCCCCAAGTGTAATTTGTATGTTTCTCTTTTTTAGGGTTTCCACTGGTGCCTACCATTATCCATGCCATTACTAGAGCTCTGTACTTCAATGACAAGTAAGTATTATGATCATTTTATTCATTTTATTCATAAATGAAATGCATTTGTATTGAGTGTCGCCTCCGTCGTTTTCAGCTGCTGGCTGAGTGTGGATACCCATCTGCTGTACATCATCCATGGCCCTGTCATGGCAGCATTGGTGGTAAGAACTGGTGTTTCAATCCTTTAGTAACAATATTATTTCTTTGTTGGGAATGTTGTAAATATACTGTATATATGTAGTACATATGTGAAAAATTCAGAGTGAAACCAATTTGATAATACTCTAGAATAAGAAAATCCATATTTTTCAACAAGTGTCTTTTGCTTTCTTTATGGAGGGAGAGGTTACATCAGTTTATTTGCATACACACCATGACAGCAGTATATCATATTATGAAACTTTTCTACAGCTATACTCTCCTAGATAAATGTGAAAAACACTTTCTTTATTGCTGAAAAAGAAAGTGAAATGCCATTGCGTATATTAACTCCTGTCTATACTATACGAAGCAAAAACATTTTTACTTCATAATTGATACAAGAGCCATTGTCATAACAACTACTGATCACACACATAAAGTATTTCAGGCATTACATAAATATTGTCATACTGTTTCTAACAGCTACCCTCTAAATTAGATACATGGAAATGAACCCAAAATAGAGTAATCCCACTCAAAATTGTATGAATAATAGATGACCATTAGGTAAATACCTTCATGAGCTTGAGGTACGAAAAGATTTCTAAAGCAGTCTACAAAGAACACTTAAGAAAGCGGTTCATAAATTGCCTATAGGAAAATTATGACTGTTTAGAGTGAAGAGGATTTTCAATATTCCTAGAAAAACAATAAATTTATTTAAAAAGGGTTTCAACCTCCTTAGCCATCAAAGCAATGCAGATTAAATAGCAATGAGTTGACACCACACCCCAACCAGCATAGATAACACTAAAAGTGATGGCCAAGGATTAGCAATGGTGCAGAGCAACTGTAACTCCTGTGTACTACTGGAGGGAATATGAAAGAGAGCCATCTGGCCAGTCCTTACCAAGATAAACCTGCTCTTACTGTAGGAATTGGTGAGTCTGTGCCTAGGTATTTATACTACACTAGATGGAGACAGGGTCATAGTGTACCTTATATCCTCTTTGGAGTGGTTGCTATACAGAGAGATATATTTGTAAACTAAACTTCTCAAATGTATGATTGAAATCTGCATTTCATTTCATGTAAATTATATTTCAATGAAGTTACTTTTAAAAATATTATTTATAAGAAAGCTGGGCTAGCTGCTGTCTCTACTACATAGGAATGTTCAAGATAAAATTCTCAGTCCTTATTTCACTTTCAGGTCAATAGTCCTGGCTAAGGGCAAGTCTTAATAACGAAAACACAAACTGGCATGAGCTGGCAAGTGTTGTTGTAACTCTCCTTCATAAAAATTATAAACATCTAAATAAAGAATAAATTAGAGTTGAACCTACTCTAGTTACATGTAGAGGAAACAGTTTCCCTTTTAGGAAAAGAAGGGAAACATTGAAACCAAACCTGAAAAGGGTCTTCAGTTACACGGAAGCCTCCAGATCCTGTCTGATGCTTCCCATCAGACAATCTTTTACATTGTGTATGGGTGACATCTACTCTCCTGTTTGTCAAACAGGAATCGAAGACCATAGGTATCCTTAATTACCACTTGTCAAAATAATTTGCTCATAATGTCATATTGTTACAGGTCAATTTCTTCTTTCTGCTGAACATTGTCCGGGTGCTTGTGACCAAGATGAGGCAAACCCATGAGGCAGAATCTTACATGTACCTGAAGGCTGTGAAGGCCACCATGATCCTGGTGCCCCTGCTGGGAATCCAGTTCGTTGTCTTTCCCTGGAGGCCCTCCAACAAGCTGCTTGGGAAGATATATGATTACCTCATGCACTCTCTGATTCATTTCCAGGTAAGGAAGCCAAGGACTTATTCACCAAGTTGACCTATCTAATTCAAAAGCCTGTGATCTTTTTTTTCTTTTTTTTTAATTGTAAAGATACTGTACAGAGGGGTTACAGTTATATGAGTAAGGTAATGAGTACATTTCCTATGGAGCATTGTTACCCCCTCCTTTATTTTCCCCTACTATCCCTTACCTCCCACCTCCACAACTCCCCCCACTCAAGTTGTAAAGTTTGTTTTCAACATAGTGTCTTGTACATCTCATGTTACAATGGGTCAACCTGTATCCTTGTTTCAGCATTTTGTTATTTCCCTTCCCCTCTCCAAATTAGAAAAATTTATGTACAAGATGCAGGACACCAGAATCAAATACAGTGACAACAGGGGTTATACCATGGGGGAAGAACATACAAAAGAAATTTTAAAAATCACATAGTACATTAAAAACAACAGCAACAAAAAAAAAAACCTCTTGTGTCCCTATCTTGGAGTTCATTTTGCTTAGCACCATCTTATATGGTCATATGTACATAGCTTTTGACCTTTTCTGCTTATCTGGTAAAATTATCTTAGATGTATACTAGTTATTGCAAATAAGAGAAGCCATGGGACCTATGTTTCTGTGGGCCTGGCTTACTTCACTTAATAGAATTTTTTTCAAGTCTTTTCATTTCCTAACAAATGGGCAGTGTCATTCTTTCTGATGGAGGCATAGAATTCCATTGTGTGTGTGTGTGTGTGTGTGTGTGTGTGTGTGTGTGTGTGTGTGTGTGTGCGCGCGCGCGCACGTATGTACACACACACACACACACACACACACACACACACACACACACATATATACCACATTTTCTTGATTCATTCATTTACTGAGGGGCATCTGGCTTGGTTCCATATCTTAGCTATGGTGAATAATCCTGCCATAAACATAGTTGTGCTGTAGCTTTAGTATGGCCTTGTTTGTGATCATTTGGTTAGATGCGTAGAAGTAGGATTTAAAGACTGTGATCTTAAATGTCATGACACAGTCTTCAACCCGACAGACCCAACCAAAATTCTGAAGGAAATTGGGTTCTTCAAGGCACTTACTTGTGCTGTTTCTTTATCTCAGGACCCTCATTGGCTCCACCCAGGCAGAGCTAGCACATCAAAAGAATGGTCAGATCTTCCTGTCATAAATTATTGTGACTCTGGAGTAACAAGATGCAATGCATTTGCACAGAACTTCCCATACTTCCTGCTCTGTCCTCCTTCATCTGTCAGCCAAATGTCAGGATCTACAACAACTCAGTGAATATAAAGAATAGTTGTGCCTGAATCTCTCCTCATATAGGAGAGAATCGTTTCATGGGCTGTCCTGAGCTGCGCAGACTCCATCACATTGGAGAAGAGGATGTCTGCCCTTGTCCGTTCACCTGAAAGCTTTGTCCGAGATCAGATCTCACAGCTAGGATTTTTGAGAACAGGATAGGGTCTGAGGGGCAAGGCTCCATTATCATTTGGGAAAGATTCCTCTACAGGCTCTTAGACAAAAGTTTTCCTGTCTCAATTATAAATTTCAAATTAAATTTCACTTTTTTTACTGCCAAAATTATTCATTTGAGGAGGATACCAGCATTAATTGAGCTTAAAAGAAAGTTTAGGTGTTGTTTAAGCTGTTATTTGGGTTATAATTAAAATTTGGGCACAAAGAATCTTTAAAACAGTAGCTAGGACCTCAGAAGTTAACTGTACATATCCTTTTCTCTTATTGGAAAGATGAACATAGAGGTAGCAAAGGTACCAGTCTAATTCACTCTAACAAAACAGAACACAGGCCCACAGCTATGCACTATGACATGTGTGCTTTAAAGATTCACTGAATGCTATAAGATATATTAATCAAATTTACTAGAATTGTCCTGGTTTCTGAACATTGGCAATCCCACAAGAAAATACATTTTTAATTGAATAATTTTGAAGTGTAGCACTGAATAGAAGGTATAATTCTCATGCCGTATGTGCTATTGCAGTCATGAAATGACTCCAGGCAAACTTGATAATCAATTGTGAAACAACACATACACACAAAAACAACTTCAATTCTATTTTTCCTTCTCTTTTTAGGGATTCTTTGTCGCGACTATCTACTGCTTCTGCAACAACGAGGTAGGCAATACTATCACCCATTTATAAAGGAAGGTATTTTATAGTTAACCCAGGGCTTGGTACACATTTCCTTGGATTTTATATCCACAGTTGATCTCATAGAGTTTTATGACTAAGTAGGATTATGTTTTTCCACTACTTCAGATGAAACTTTCCTGTGGATATGTGGTAGAAATGCAGGTAGGAACCAAATAGGCAACTATATTCTTACCATTTTGTTGTATCCTGAGCCAATCAATCCTTCTAGAAGCATAGTTAAAACTCTTCCCATAGAAAAAGACACTATTTCCCTATTCTTTTTTTTTTGTCAGTCGTGGGGCTTGAACTCTGGGCCTGGGCGCTGTCCCTCAGCTCTTCAGCTCAAGGCAAGCGCTCTACCACTTGAGCTACAGCGCCACTTCCGGTTTTCTGGTGGTTTATTGGAGATAGGAGTCTCTCCTGCCCGGGCTGGCTTTGAACCACAATCCTCAGATCTCAGCCTCCTGAGTAGCTAGGATTACAGGCGTGAGCCACCAGCGCCCAGCTTATTTCCCTATTCTTAAGGAAGATCCATTCCCTAGTTGGGACAGAGCCAATATATTATTAGTTTTCACTTATTCACCATCTCCCACACACACACACCTTTTTTTTGGTCAGTCATGAGGCTTGAACTCTGGGTCTGGGCCTGAGGGCTGTCCCACAGCTCTTCTGCTCAAGGCAACTGCTCTACCACTTGAGCCACAGTGCCATTTCCTGTTTTCTTGTGGTTTATTGGAGTTAAGAGTCTCACGAACTTTCCTGCCTGAACCGCAATCCTCAGATCTCAGATCTCAGCCTCCTTAGTAGCTAGTATTATAGGCATGAGCCACTGGCACCCTGCTACCATCCTATTTGAAAATTGCTTGATTCTAGTGTCAAAATACTGCTTCACATTTTGAAAATAATCCTGATGTTAAGTCAAAAATGATGCTCAAATTTAAATATAGATATATGTTGTCTGAATATTCAGATAGGTAAAATCTAGAGATTTACATGGCAAATATTCTTGGAGGTGACAGTACCCTTTCTTCTAAGAAAGTCTTACCTGGGAATTCAATTTTTAAAACCTGAAAGTAGAGCTGCTAGTTGTGATAGCCCCAACCTAGTTGTGATAGCCAAGACTGGAGAGTTTCTGATTCCCAATTAAATTAACTAAACTAACAATGTCTAGTTTTCCTCTCTAAGACCTTTGAGAGAATGGCCTGTACTTTCTCTAGGATTGCATAATTCTAGTGAAAATGTATTTAAATTTAATTCCTATTGATCATTCTATGAGACTTTGTTAAGATACCAATATGTTATTTTCCTATTAGATATATTTTCTAACCATTATCAATTGATGCTTAATATATTTTCTATTCTTTATTTCTTTAGTTAAATAATACTCAGTGAACACCTAAAATAGTTTCCTGCTCTGTGGCCTGTTCAACCTATTGTGCAAGTTTTAATTTTTTCCTCTCTTTGGTAAATTTTATTCCTTCCTCCCCTCATCCAATGCTCATTCCTTCACTCAGCAAAGATATATTGTGCATTTTTTATGGCCAGTGGCTAGATTAGAGGCTTAGGATAGATAAGAAACATTATTATATTGCTAGCTGCTACAGAAATCCCTCCTTTTTTGAGAGTAAAATCTAATCAATGAAAAGGGTTTAAATTATGTTAAGTAGAGTATCACCAGTGAATGCTCTTGCTCTTTGGGTTCTTTCAGGCAGCACATAAAATGAATTTTTTTCATGTGACATAATAACAAAACAAAGCTAATATAAAAATCAAATCTGGATGGGCATGCCTTGAAAAGCACAAGAGGATTTAGTGCATTTGTAAAAATACCACAGAAATGTATTGTACTTTACCTATGATGCTGTCATTGGGAATGTCATACTGAAAGCAAACCCCGAGGTACTCCTAATAATTGAAATGGCTTGAGTTCATTTGATGTATTGTCTCTGTGTTGTTGAGGTTTGTTTTAAAATAAAGAAACCATTTCCATTTTCAATAAGATTCTGCTACTGGAAGAATGGGTCAATGTGACATTTCTAATAATATAGATAGTATACACTATGCCAAATATAATATCACAGCCTCTGGATGTCAAACATCTGGGCCTCAGCTGGGCATTCTGTGTACAAATCTATGTATCACCCTTACAACACTCAGCATAGGCAGAAGTCTCACACTTGAAGGAAGTTATTTCCAGGTGCATGAGATGAAGCTGTGATGGGAATTCTCTCACTGAATATTGTTCTAGCAGAGACCTAGAGGCAAATATGTGAGTTTTACAATGGTGAGATTGAATTTTTCATTTTCATTCTTACTGGTGGTGACTATTTTAGGAAATGGAGGGTTTGTGGGTTAGACTAGAAGCAGGGAAGGAACTGGGAGACATATCAAAACAGGAATCAGAAAATGTCCATGAGAACACACTTAAGTATCAGATATTTTCTACAGTTCTTCTAACATTTTGACACGGACTTTCCATACATATAAATGAATTATTAGGTATCTAAGGGCCTTTTTTCCTGCTTGGTGACGTTGCTGATGAGTTACAGATTGAAGCCAGTTGTAACAGTTACATCTTACACCACCAAACCAGCGCTTCATTTTTCAAACAGCAATAAATCACTTGATAAAATCCAGGGGGAGGGGGAGGGAATGCAAAGTGATTTGTGTTCTTTGCTCTTTTTTAATGTCAGAAATAAATTTATTTATAAATTCAAACTTTTTAATGTTTTACACTAGTATCTATTAATATGTCTGTTGATTTTAAGAAGCAATGAGAGTCTCCCTGGTGGGTTTTGTTGTTTTGTTTTGTTTTGTTTTGAAGAGCACTGATTCAATGTTCTTATTCTTATCACCAAAGCAGCATCAGGTTCAACCTGTGGAGATAATTGCCCTTATTAAATTGTAATTATTGAGATGTCATTTGCTTGCTGCTCAGGGTCTCTTTTATATGTGTGGTTTATAAATTGAAGCAGATTGCCCTCTGCACACAAAAGGATGGGTTATAATTTTAGAATGCAATTAGAGAGGGTTGTGAACTTTCTGTAATAATAACTTTAAAAATTAAAATAGACATCAAGTGCTTTGCCCTCATTCTGTGCTGAGTACTTCAATATACATGGATACTCTAATTAAGGATTATTTTTTAAAGTGACAAGACAAAACAAATGTTTTGTTTCTATTGGGCCCTTTTGAAAACTCATATTAAACTTACTTCTCTGTCTTGGCTAGCTCTAAATATTTACACACACACACACACACACACACACATGCACGCAAATGGTTTCCACCACCTTAACTAAAGTTTTACCTGGCATACCTCATCTCAAGCCATGTGAATAAGAATAAATACACTTTATGGTGATATTATCATAAAGTGTAGAGCTACATGGTTGGAGCATATATTTTCTGAAAAGAATTGAATTTAAAAATTTGCATTGTCATGGATAAATATCAAATAAATGTTTCCTAACCTTCCCCGTGCTGTGGCATGTACTCCATATTATGAAACCACATCAGCTTTCACTCACTGGATTTGAGAGCTGAGGAAAAGTTTTGCCCACAATAGCAAACAGCCTTGTCAGTATTAACTTAGACAAACAACTCCCTTCTCCCACTTGGCACTCTTTTCCCTCCCAGGATGGTACACTTCAAGGCCACAGCATATACAACTCTGCCTCTGAGATCAAAACCCCAGTTTTAATCTCTGATAAACTCCAAGGGTCATGTTCCTAACCTTTTTCTCTTCCAGGTCCAAACCACCGTGAAGCGCCAATGGAACCAATTCAAAATCCAATGGAGCCAGCGCTGGGGAAGACGCCCCGCCAACCGCTCGGCTTCTCGTGCTGCAGCCTCGGCCGAGGCTGGCGACCTCCCTGTTTACATCTGCCATCAGGAGCTGAGGGAGTTGGGGGCCAACAACCATGACCAGGAGGGTGCTGAGATCATTGCATTGAACATCATCGAGCAAGAGTCATCCGCTTGAATGTGAAGCAGGACGCAGCATTTTGAGCACTGAGCCTTCATATCCTGGGGGAAACAGAAGATAGACCGTGCATTTACAGTGATTCCCATCCTCCCAGGAGCTGAGCATATCATTTGTGAAGAATTATTAAGTGAATTTGTCCATAGTACATCTGAAGAAAGTTATTCTTGGTACTATTTGCTTTGGGAGACAGTCTAGGAATGGAGTCTCCCACTGCAACTTGTGAACCCCATCATCTACCCTGGACTGAGAAACACATGTCTTAGTAATGCTAGCAAAGTATCCAAGAAAAATAAAAACGCAATTAAGTTGATCTAGTTCAGATACAGGGTGCTCCTTGTTAATCTTGAGCCATTTCTATCTTTGAAAAAATTCAAACCACTGTCAATATTTGTTTTTCTTTTTAAACTCTGGATTTTGAATCAGACTATTTCTGTATTTGGCTACGAATCTGATTTTTAATCTTTTACTTTAAATCAGTTCTGATGATTCTCACTTGTTTTACCATCCATACAATGTCATCCGCACAAATTATACGGCCTCTGGAAGACATAGTTCTCAAAGATAAGATGGGTAAGAATGTGAAGAAAAGAACTGCATTTGGCAGAGAGATGTAATGCTTTGAATGAAAAGAAATGCAAAGTTGGGTTGCTGGAACTATTCCATGCCCACCTTGGTCTTGGAAAATCCTATCCACTGGGCAGGTTCTAATAGTTGTAAGGAGTCGGTCATAAAGTTGAATGCGCTTTGGTTGTTTACATTTATGAATTGGGAGGTCACAAAGAATCCATCACCAAATTTTCACAAAACTGCCAAAAATGTAATTTTTAGTGGAAGAAAATGCTCTTTAAAGACTTTTCCACTTTCCTAAATGCTAGGGTTTTTAAAAGTAAAACAAGCTGAGGTTTATAAAGCAGATTACCTCTTGTGCCCTTGGGTGCTATCTAGCAGTAGAAGATACATTTGTTTAAGACTGGTAATTAAAAGATCCCATAGAAGTCCATTAACTGCTTTCTACCCAGCTTCAAAGCTTAACAAGATCGTAGGAATATTCAGGATGAATAATTAGAAATTGGTTTATAGTTGATCTCTTGTATTATCAAAACAAGAGAAAAAAGGTTGCCTGCTATTACTTCATGTTAAAATAAAAATAGAGTTTCTCATTAAAACTCAGTGTTACATTTCTACACCTCTCTTTACTTCCCAGCATAAGATCCAAAAACCAAAACCAAAAAAACACAGAAAAAGACCAGTATCATATCTGGCTATGTTGAAACCCTCCAAATCTCATTGTCTTATCCATATCATCTCTATGCTACTGACTTTCAGAAGGGATTTAGTTGTGGAAAGACAACTAAAGAAAACTATGCTGATTCCTGCTGGTTACGTATTTAGTGCACCCAGAGAAAATTAGATTTCTCCAGTAAGATGTATTTTGGATACTACTGCAGTTTAAGTCTTCTTTACTGAGTGCAAGGGAGGAAGAGCAAAGAAGGCATTTTTTTTTCCAATCACAGTGTTACGTAGTGATGTTCCTATTTTTGTTTACAAACTTGGAAAACAGAGTATTCCAGGCAGCTCTCGTACAAATGTGATAATCTATTGCTGAAGTATTTTAAATGTTGTTGTGCTAATGTAGTAGTGACTGACCAGACTCCCGTAGTTCATCATAGTATTGTAAATAGTGCCAACATTGTGTGAACTGCTTCTGCTGTGTACATGTTTAAATCAATACAGAGCATATTAAAAGCAAAATGATGTATATTTGCATATTTTTCTAAAAAAAATACATGGTTCATCTTTCATTCATCCATTCATTGTGTCTGCTACTCATTCATTCCCTGCTTTTATTTCCACCATGAGCTGCTGACATCCCATCTTGCTTGTTCCATAGAAGGAAGAAAGAGAACCCAAAGGTTAGGTTAGAAAACATATGTGAGAAAACTATCAAGAACTTTACCTTTATTAATGTAGCCACCTTTAGTCTTCAATTTGACAATGAACTTCGTGCCACAGCTCTCATATCTGTGATAATGCAAAAACCACTCCCAACCGTCAATCTGTTATTGTGTATGTTTAGAGTAGACAACAAAGAAATCCAGCGAGGAAGTATCAAATTCTCTCACTGTGCATTGTTTTGAGATTGTTGTGGGACCATTCTTGATCTGTCTAGCATTATATCAGATCATTAGAATTGTTACAATTGCCACTTTTTAATGTAGCGAGGGGGGGGGGTGGAGAGAGAGACACTAAGGATGGGTAAAAAGTAACTAAGTATCATTAGAATGCACAAAGGTTCCTGTTGATTTGGAGAGCCAGAAATGGAAAACTGAGGATTAAATGAGAACTAAGATGAGCTAATAAAGGTAAACAGGAGCAATTTGTAAGTACTTCACACTATGTGATAGCATCCAAAATTGTTGCCTCATGAAATCTGGGGAACTTTTTCAGAAATGATACCTAAGGGCTGAATTGTTTCCTAAATGTTCCAGAGTGATACAAATAGATACTATTTTCCCTGTGATCTTGAAGAACAAAAGCCATTTTCCATTATAGCCTAAAACCTAATCCTTCAACAGAATGACTTACATTCAAACAGTCATCTGCCCACCTGCTTTGATTCCTAACTACAAAGTGATTCAAAATAGGCAGAGTACAAATGGATAATATGAATCTCAGAGGAAGAAAAGCTAGTGGAAGAGACATGAAAAATGTTAATAATGGGGCTACGAGAGTTTTCATTCATTCATTCATTCAGCACTCATTGGTTCTGCAGATGTTTCATACACCTTCCATCCTCCCATGGTAATGTTTATTATTAGTAATTATCAGGGCAAAGTTTCCTTGCAGAGATGACCACCTCTTTTCTGAGTTAGTGGTCAAAATCAAAACCTACTAAGTGAAAAGTATAACCACTCATAACTTTGGGGTGGGAACACAGAATGACACATGTGGTTGGAGGTGCCAGTGTCCCTCCTCATGAACACTAGACCAAAGAACTCCAGTTATCAGATGCACTCTGAAAGCAAGATCTTCATACAAAGTTTTGATACTATCTTCTTCACATACAAAAAGTCTGAAACGTAGATCCATCCATCAGTTACACTGCAGTTTGCTGCCTGCCATGAGAGTTAACACTTCAATGTTTATAATGAGATTACTTAGAATAAGTGGAAATCAGAAAGCAAGCTGAGAAAAAAACACAAGGTGAAGTCAGAAACTCCATCTGATACTAATATTGAAATAAAGATAAGAAAGGATTGTTGTATAGAATAGATAAGCTAATCGTCAATGATGCTAATATTGAAATAAAGATAAGAAAGGGTTGTTATATGGAGTAGATGAGCTAATCATCATTGACTTATTTATTTTGAGTACAACATTCCAGTAATTGGTGTTTATTTGCTGCTTCTTTAATTACTTTTATTTAGAGATATTCTCTATAATTTAAGGGCAAAGTATGTCTCTCCCAAAGGAATGAGTGAAGAGGTAAAAAGTAGAACAAAAACAATGAGAGATACAGATGGAAAGACAATAACTAGTCAATAGTCACAGAAAGACACAAAAAGCCTGCAATGGGAAATGGGATATATTTGCAGAAATATGGTTAAAATTCTTCCACAGTTGAAAATAAAAGACTTCAAAATAGAAATATTTCAGAGTTCCAAATACTTCACCAAACTAAAATTTTTAGGGAAAGATCAACATGGAATGACAGAAGGTTGAAACTTGTATGTCACAGGAGAAAGATGAATATTGAAGGGGAAACCTGAATATTGAAGAAAGAAATATCAATAAATAAAAGACTAATAAGATATGTAAAATATATCTTACTATGACAACCAATCTTGGATCAGAACAACAAAGTCACACAGGCAACAAGAGACACACACAACACGAACTCTTAAAAAGTTCAACAAAATAAACACCAGAAAATGGGTACTTGAAAGGGGTGGGAGTTCCTAAGAGGAGATGGATAGATAAATGAAGAGGAAATGAGAAAGAGAATACAGTCACAAATTCAATGTATATCCTACAAAAGTCAGAAAATTGAGGTAAGTTGGATTGGGAGAGATGGGTGGGAATGCTGAAAGGAGTGGCATTGATCAAGATGCATTTTATTCCTAAACTGCTTTGTTAAAAACCCACCCCTACCCCCAATAAAAGTAAACAGGGACAGGAACATTATGCTGGGGAAATATGAACCAAAAGAAAGCAGTGGACGCTATCTTAATATTAAACAAAACATAAAAGATGTCTTGGTCCTTTGGGGTGTTATAACAAAATATCTTCAGACTGGATGATCTATAAGCAGAAATTGATGTACACAGCTCTAGAGGCTCAGAGTTTGAGATCAAGATGTTTGCTCAATTCAATGTCTGATGAAGGCCCACACCTTATAGATGATGCTGTGATAAATGATAAAAGGGAGCCAGGGAACTCTTTCAGGCCTCTGCCACTAGGGGAATAGTCACACTCAGGAAGTAAAAACTCCTTGTAAGTTTATCATTTCTCATTCTTCTAAGTCTGTTACTTTGGAGATTCAGTTTTAATATAAGACGTTTGAGAGGACTTGGGCATTAAGATTAAAACAGACAAAAACAAAAATGATATCCCAATAAAAGTTATAATTCAACAGAACACTTAGCCACCTAAGTTCATGCATACCTTAAGATGCACCTTCAAAATGCATCAAACAACACTGAGATGAGCACCACCAAGAGACAGATGGTGGCTCAAATTGTAGAGCAGAAAATTATAGAAAACATGCATTCTCTTTAAGTATGCCCAGAATGTTGATGCAACAGTGTATTTAAGAACAAAGTATATATTTACAACAGAAAAATTGAAACCACAGAGAAGATCTCTGCTCATAATGCAAAATAAATAAATAAAATCAATAGAAACATTGATGCTAGAAACAAATATTTCTAAGTAATTCTCACTCTTTTTTGGGGGGGTTGAACTCTGGGCCTGGGCACTCTCCCTTAGCTCTTCAGCTCAAGGCTAGCACTCTTACCATTTAGAGCCACAGTGCCACTTCCAGCTTTTTCTGCTTATGTGGTGCTGAGGAATCGAACCCAGGGCCTCACGCATGCAAGGCAAGCACTGTACCACTGAGCAACCTTCCCAGCCCCGTAATTCTCACTTTTAAATGGATATTAAAAAATACAGAATGCATTTGTATCTATTAGTGTCTCAGAAACATTAATTATTAATATTCTTAAAGTATTACAATTCCAAATTCATGGGGCATGCCTAAAGCAATTCCTAGAAATTCAAATTTTAGTCTCATTTAAGAGAAATCAATAAATCAAGCAACCAAGAAAAAACAAAACACAAAAGACATGGTCCCTGTCACAGCAGATTTTCGGTAAAAATGAAAGATTATGGACAAATAGTTCCTTTTATCTTCTTCAAAATGAAGAAAGGTAGAGTGAAATGAGAAGAGTTTCATGTCTGGATATTAGTGAGAAATAGAATTCTGTTTTCTGAGTAGACGTCTAACAGTACGGCCCTTCTTCTGCTTGGTAGGATATTTAAGGATGCAGTCAAGACATCTTTGACTGAACATGAGTGAGGAAGATGATAGTCCCCAGATGTCAATCTAAAATTTTCTCTGAAGAAACGCAGCATGACAGATAAAAGAGCAATTGGATAGATTTCATGGGAAATTATCTGCTAAAGAGTCCTAAATCATTCTTATATTCTATAGACATTATAGGATGATGCACAGTGTGAGAGGATCAGAATGAATTGAAAATTTTAAAGCAAATAGGAAAGTACTATAATGTAGATATTACAGAGAGTTAGGGAGACCTCACCAATAGAAAAACATAATGTCTTTAAAAAATAAAATAAAGCCCTACACTACTAAAGGGATGGATGACCAGCATAATAGAACCTTGAGAACTGATTTGCCTATACAACTAAAAGTAGAAGCAGAGACCCAAAGAAACATAGGTTCCATGGTTTCCTTTATCTGTAATAACTAGTATATGTCTAGGACAAGCAGAAGAGGTCAAAACTATGTACATATGACCATATAAGCTGCTGCTAAGCGAAATGAACCCCAAGATAGGGACACAAGAGATTTTATCTTTCATGTTGTTCTTTTTAATGTATTTATAATGTACTATGGGTTTTGTTTGGTTTTGTTTCTTTGTATGTTCTTCTCCATAGTATAACCCCTGTTGTCTCTGTATTTGATTCCAGTGTCTTGCATATTATATATCCATTTTTCTAATTTGGAGAGGTGAAGGGAAATAACAAAATGCTGAAACAAGGATACAGGATGACCCATTGTAACAACAAGATAGATGCACAAGACACTATGTTGAAAACGAACTTTACAACTTTGGGTGGCGGGGGGGGGGGGGGATGGAGGAGTCTGGAGGTGGAGAGGAAAGGGATGGTAGGGGAAAAATAAAGGAGGAGGTGACAATGCTCCATAGGAAATGGACACATTACCTTGCTCGTGTAACTGTAACCCCTCTGTACAGTATTTTCACAATAAAATATATATATTAAAAAATAAAAGTAGAGGCAGACCTGATGAAGGAAAGAGAAAAGAGCATCTGAAGACATTAGCATGATATTCAGAGTTCTCTGGGCAGGATGCAGTACTTTATGAAAACAACATGTAGTTACAATTTTTGTTGTTTCACCAATGCTCCATTCCCACAAAAATGGTTTCTATTTGGCTCTCTGGAAGATCACGGATGAG